AGTTGATATATACCTGAGCGCTCTTATATACTACCAATTACTAATATAATACTAATTATAATATAATAATAAGTTGATATATACCTGAGCGCTCTGCCCATGGTCTCGTAGTTCATGTCGGGTTTGTTCTTGTGCTGGCCCCAGAGTTTGGACACGGCCTTAGAGTCGACGAGTTTGAAGACTCCTTTCTCGCGGTTAGTCCACTTGATGTACTTAGGACAACACTCGCTATCCTGTAGCAACTTCAGTAGGAACTCCCATAGGAATGTCGTAGATCCTGAGAACGATAAGTTGGGTTAGTCGTTGGTCGTGAGAACGACAAGTTGGGTTAGTCGTTGATCAATGAATAAAATAAGTTGTGTTAGTCGTAGATCACGAGAACGATAAGTCGGGTTAGTCGTTGATCAATGAAAAAAAAATAAGTTGTGTTAGTCGTATATCCTGAGAACGATAAGTTGGGTTAGTCGTTGATCGTGAGAACGATAAGTTGTGTTAGTCGTTTATCGTGAGAACGATAAGTTGTGTTAGTCGTTGATCGTGAGAATGATAAGTTGTGTTAGTCGCTGATACTTAGAGAGATAAGTTGTGTTAGTCGTTGATCCTGAGAACGATAAGTTGGGTTAGTCGTTGATGCTAAGAACTATGTACATTGCCGTGTTTTAAGTTTGAATTATTATTCGTATTACAAGCGTTATTTTGAGTAATGAAACAATGAATATATATTCATTATACCGCAAACAACGACATTTCTCACCTTCTCTGCTCTTCCTCTTGCTACATTGCTGGGGGTTAGATCCCCCCTCCAGAGGCTTGGGCTTACGTCCCTTCTTTTTCATCCTGCCGCTCATCTGCATATCCACCATGAAGAAATCCTCCGCTGACGAAGGACTCGAAGGATTCACGTTATTCAACGGATGTTGGCTCATGCCCAAATGATGCCCCAAGTGTGATGATGTTTGTCCCATCAGAAGTGATGATAAATCGTTACTTGGAGTCATCTGACCGTAGTGTGGTGACGCGGGCAGCGTGTGTGGTGACGACATCGCGTGTGATGACTGCATGTTGTGGTGTGAGGATGTTGAGGACATGTGTGATGTGGCAGAGAGTCCTGTAGGATAGCTAGGAGGCACCGGCCCCGAGTTGGGGTCTACGAATCCCCCCGCAGAAAGCGACATGCCATAACTGCTGTTGTTGCTGCTGCTGCTCGGTGAGTCTGCAATGAACAACAAAATGTTCAGTTAAATAGTCTCAAGCTAATTATTTTGTACAAGATAAAATGTATATGAATATAGATGCGAGCTGTTAACTGTAATATAGATACTGAGACTCGCTACGTATCACATAACCATGTATCACTAGGTAAGAGTATCGTATAACCATGTATAGCTACGTATCGTATCTAGGTACGTGTATCACATAACCATGTATCACTACGTATCGTATCTAGGTACGTGTATCACATAACCATGTGTTACTACGTTACGTATCTAGGTACGTGTATCACATAACCATGTGTCACTACGTATCGTATCTAGGAACGTGTATTACGTAGGTAGCCAGCGCTTGATCGTACCGACAAGAAACCGCTTTCGGTTTCTACGCCGGATTGCGTCAGGCTTGCACAACAATCCGGTTTCTAGAAGATTTCTAGAGCGGATAGTTGGTCTATCTAAGCGTACACTATTTTTTAGTAGGTATACTGGTTTGCCAAGCCTTCAAGTTTTTATTGCAACGGGTTTTGCTTTGTCGTTTTCTGGCTCCGCGGATACGCTTTCGTTTTGTTCGTTTTTTAACATGCACAATTTATAATTGCGTTATTTCAATTAACGCTGCAAAAACAAACGAAGACATTGATTTTAAGCGCTGATTAAAATATTTTAAATATTGGGATAAAGATTTTAAATTTTAATTTGAATATTTTAAATTTTTGCATGAAGATTTTATATTTTGATTTGAATATTTTAAAGTTTTGTAAAAAGATTTTAAATTTTGATATAAAGATTTTAAATTTTGATTTGAAGATTTTACACTTTGATTTTTAAGATTTCAAATTTCGATTTAAAGATATTAAATTTTGATTCAAATTTTTAAATTTTGGTTTAAACATGCTGGACATAATTTCGGATTTCAACATTGCTAAATTTGGCGAGACATTCTTAAAAATATTCTTCATACGACACTTCCAACTGTAAAAAAAATTCTCAAATATTTAACATTCAAAAAACAATATAGCAAGTGATAACGATCCAAGACACGAAATAGAANCACTCGCTATCCTGTAGCAACTTCAGTAGGAACTCCCATAGGAATGTCGTAGATCCTGAGAACGATAAGTTGGGTTAGTCGTTGGTCGTGAGAACGACAAGTTGGGTTAGTCGTTGATCAATGAATAAAATAAGTTGTGTTAGTCGTAGATCACGAGAACGATAAGTCGGGTTAGTCGTTGATCAATGAAAAAAAAATAAGTTGTGTTAGTCGTATATCCTGAGAACGATAAGTTGGGTTAGTCGTTGATCGTGAGAACGATAAGTTGTGTTAGTCGTTTATCGTGAGAACGATAAGTTGTGTTAGTCGTTGATCGTGAGAATGATAAGTTGTGTTAGTCGCTGATACTTAGAGAGATAAGTTGTGTTAGTCGTTGATCCTGAGAACGATAAGTTGGGTTAGTCGTTGATGCTAAGAACTATGTACATTGCCGTGTTTTAAGTTTGAATTATTATTCGTATTACAAGCGTTATTTTGAGTAATGAAACAATGAATATATATTCATTATACCGCAAACAACGACATTTCTCACCTTCTCTGCTCTTCCTCTTGCTACATTGCTGGGGGTTAGATCCCCCCTCCAGAGGCTTGGGCTTACGTCCCTTCTTTTTCATCCTGCCGCTCATCTGCATATCCACCATGAAGAAATCCTCCGCTGACGAAGGACTCGAAGGATTCACGTTATTCAACGGATGTTGGCTCATGCCCAAATGATGCCCCAAGTGTGATGATGTTTGTCCCATCAGAAGTGATGATAAATCGTTACTTGGAGTCATCTGACCGTAGTGTGGTGACGCGGGCAGCGTGTGTGGTGACGACATCGCGTGTGATGACTGCATGTTGTGGTGTGAGGATGTTGAGGACATGTGTGATGTGGCAGAGAGTCCTGTAGGATAGCTAGGAGGCACCGGCCCCGAGTTGGGGTCTACGAATCCCCCCGCAGAAAGCGACATGCCATAACTGCTGTTGTTGCTGCTGCTGCTCGGTGAGTCTGCAATGAACAACAAAATGTTCAGTTAAATAGTCTCAAGCTAATTATTTTGTACAAGATAAAATGTATATGAATATAGATGCGAGCTGTTAACTGTAATATAGATACTGAGACTCGCTACGTATCACATAACCATGTATCACTAGGTAAGAGTATCGTATAACCATGTATAGCTACGTATCGTATCTAGGTACGTGTATCACATAACCATGTATCACTACGTATCGTATCTAGGTACGTGTATCACATAACCATGTGTTACTACGTTACGTATCTAGGTACGTGTATCACATAACCATGTGTCACTACGTATCGTATCTAGGAACGTGTATTACGTAGGTAGCCAGCGCTTGATCGTACCGACAAGAAACCGCTTTCGGTTTCTACGCCGGATTGCGTCAGGCTTGCACAACAATCCGGTTTCTAGAAGATTTCTAGAGCGGATAGTTGGTCTATCTAAGCGTACACTATTTTTTAGTAGGTATACTGGTTTGCCAAGCCTTCAAGTTTTTATTGCAACGGGTTTTGCTTTGTCGTTTTCTGGCTCCGCGGATACGCTTTCGTTTTGTTCGTTTTTTAACATGCACAATTTATAATTGCGTTATTTCAATTAACGCTGCAAAAACAAACGAAGACATTGATTTTAAGCGCTGATTAAAATATTTTAAATATTGGGATAAAGATTTTAAATTTTAATTTGAATATTTTAAATTTTTGCATGAAGATTTTATATTTTGATTTGAATATTTTAAAGTTTTGTAAAAAGATTTTAAATTTTGATATAAAGATTTTAAATTTTGATTTGAAGATTTTACACTTTGATTTTTAAGATTTCAAATTTCGATTTAAAGATATTAAATTTTGATTCAAATTTTTAAATTTTGGTTTAAACATGCTGGACATAATTTCGGATTTCAACATTGCTAAATTTGGCGAGACATTCTTAAAAATATTCTTCATACGACACTTCCAACTGTAAAAAAAATTCTCAAATATTTAACATTCAAAAAACAATATAGCAAGTGATAACGATCCAAGACACGAAATAGAATGATTTAATGTGTTATATATCGAGATAGAAAAATGTAACATATTATACTAAGAAGTAGAAAGATTTTATATATTATATATAGAAGTAGAAAGATTTAATATATTACATATAGAAGTAGGAAGATATAATATATCATACATAGAAGTAGGAAGATTTAATATATTACATATAGTAGAAGGATTTAATACATTATATATAGAAGTAGAAAGATTCACTATATTATATATAGAAGTAGAAAGATTTAATATATTATACATAGAAGTAGAAAGATTCACTATATTATATATAGAAGTAGAAAGATTCACTATACTATATAGATGACAGAGATACTGACCTCTATGGTATCCGACCATATGGTGGTTAGGTTGTTGTTGGTGTTGCAACATATGGTGTTGCTGTTGTTGCTGCAGGTGTTGCTGATGGAGGTGTTGTTGGTGGAGCTGGTGGTGGGGGAGGTGGAGGCGGGAGGGGGGGCCTCCATGGAGCCCGTATGAATGGGAGGGAGGTGAGTCGGGGGTGTTGCTACTGCAAACTGTAAAACACAAAATTTCTAGTGGAAATGCATCTTTATCATTTATAAAATGATATATAAAATGATATATAAAAATGATATAAATTTATATTTATATCACGTCGCATGATAAATGTGTCCAAAAACAATTAATCTTCCACACATGTTCTAGTTAAAATGCATCTATATCATTTATAAACTGAGGAAAGAATTCTTCCCATGATAAATGTGTCCATAAACAATTCATTTTTCACCCAAACATGATGAATAGCCACTCGCATGATTCATTCATCAAGAATGAATGACATACACATCAATTAGAAGCAAGATGTCTGCAAGTGTTCAACAAAGAACGAATAACATGAACAGCATTCAATGCTGAGTAAGACTCATCAGTCGGTGAGTTATTATTCGCAGCTAATAATTCAAAGCCTTCATAAATCAAACAATTGATTATTTTCAACGTAAAATGATTCACGATTAATTGAGATATTGTAATGATTTATCATGATATTGTGATGATTCACTGTGATATTGTGATGATTCATTGTGATATTGTTACAATTCACTGTGATATTGTTACAATTCACTGTGATATTGTGATGATTCACTGTGATATTGTGATGATTCATTGTGATATTGTTACAATTCACTGTGATATTGTGATGATTCATTGTGATATTGTGATGATTCATTGTGATATTGTGATGATTCATCGTGATATTGTGATGATTCACTGTGATATCGTAATGATTCATTGTAATATTATAATGATTCACGATTCATTGTGATATCGTAATGATTCATTGTGATATTGTAATGATTCACGATTCATTGTGATATTGTAATGATTCATTGTAATATTATAATGATTCATGATTCACTGTGATATCGTAATGATTCATTGTAATATTATAATGATTCATGATTCATTGTGATATTATAATGATTCATTGTAATATTATAATGATTCACGACTCATTTTAATATGCTGCACTCACCATCATTGAGGTTCTGACCAGACGACGAGTCGACGTCTGAGACTCCTGAGTCTGCTGGAGACGGCGGCAGCGAACCTGCGCAATAAGGAGAACAAAATAAGGATTAAAAAAGAGAAAAACTATAGGGTGATGCAAATGAGAATAAGTAAAAGATCTTAAAAAATGTCATAATGAGATTGGATTTTTAACGTTTTATTTGAAGCCTGGCTCCGCAAGAAATGGGGGCTGTTGGGGCGCGTTTCATCCATGGTTCAATGGTGGTATCTTATGTTTAAATTGCAATATATATATATATAATTAAAATGTCTTCTTGAACTACAATACATAAGCTATATTATTGTTAACAGGATTACGTGATTTAGTGTAACAGGAAACTTATTGTAGGACTCGGTAAAAATTAAGTAAACATTAAGTATAGTAAAAACAAATTAAAGTAAAAATTAAGTATACTCGGTATCAATGAATAACGGTTCATATCTGGTAAGGTTTTGAATTCATTTTCGAAAATCATTACAACAATTTTTCTCGGGGGGGGGGGGTTAAACTAATCCTCTCTTTCTGGAATCGTGAAATAGATTGCATCTGTATGGTACATGACAGAATTACATAAAGAAATAATAAAAAAATCCCAATTAAAACGAAAAAACGAATACATGGTCATTCGGGGAAATAACAACAAAAAACGTTTCTACGATTAGACGAAAAATTCGACCGTTCGTTTGTGCAGCTTGTTTACGAACTGGTCAGAGGTCGACAAACATTTCCGGTTTCGGTCTTTAGATCAAAAATCGGCGATGGTCAAACCCTTCCCCTCCCCTCCCTCGAGTTCCAGCTGAGTTTTTGTAGATGTTTTGTTCTGGCGATGGAAGGTCACATTTTTGCCAGCATCGGCCATAACAACCTCGCTTTTCCGGCCAGTTGTTTTTAGGACCTTCTAACGCAAAAAAAATTCCCTAGGGCGCTCAATGACCGGATCAGGATTGTTTCTTTTCTGCGACTCGGAAGCGAGAGAAATAACATCAAGGTTTTTTTTCTTGAGCTGAAAAGCAATAATAAACTCTCGAAACTTGAATTTTCGGACAGCTTGATAGGTGCACAAGATCAGAGAGTTTGATTGTAACCTACGAAAGAACAAAGAAGAAAATTACTCGTCTTCATCAAGTTTTAGAATAAGAAAAATACGCCGTTAATTCAGCGAAAAGCTTCAAGTATATCCGAATAGTTCAAAGGAATATATAATCGAGACGAACCAATATCCGAATTTAAGTACTGAATATTTGAATATTTACGAAAATACTTTCTGCGATGAGAAACATCGATTAACATGTTGAATGAATTCAGAGCATGATTAAGCATAAATACGAAGCCTGAATATGCATACACAGCTGACGCGAATGAATTTTACGGTGTCTTTCATCCGTGGAACCATGAAAAGGTCGAGTTTCAACTCTAATGAAAAATTTTTGGTAAGAGTCGAAATGTTACTATGGATAGTGAACCATATTGATTACTATTTTTATTGAGCTACAGGGGTCATACAGTCAAAACTTATGTACAAGTAGCGGCCGATGTACACATAGCGGCCCACGTACACATTTTAAGATTCAAGATTTTTCAAGATTGTTCAAGATTCAAGATTCTTCATGATTCTTCTAGATTCAAGATTTTTCAAGCTTCTATATAATTAAAGATTCAAGATATATCCAGGTAATGAATAACCAGAGCTACGCACAAGAAAAAGCAAGATTTTCCACCAAGTTTGTGATTTATTGACTATTCAAAAACCGACACGAGTTCGGCACAATTAAAGATAACGATGTTCCAGATTCGGAATAAGTCCAAAAAGGCCGTTTGAGATCCTGTTTACGGTCATGGTACGATCCAAAAAAGGTAAGGCTGGACACGGGCTACAATGACTGCACCTATCCATTCAGATGGATGATGAATACGAATACGATGTTTTGAACTGACGAGAACAAACGACGACCAGAGCAAATAACGATGACTATGACGGTGGCCAAGAGAGAGCATCGTAAGTAATTAACAATGATTTACGTCAGAACTTTGACAAGGTCGAATCACCCTGATTATGTAGTCGCTAGTTCCGGTCAAATTTGCTATGCCTTTCGTTAAAAAATTATAATTGGTGTCTTTGACGCTCCAGAAACTGAACCTTTGCTATACCTCTTGTTAAAAAATTGTATTAGTGTCTTTGACGCTCCAGAAGCTGAACCTTTGTTATACCTCTTGTAAAAAAATTATAATTAGTGTCTTTGACGCTCCAGAAACTGAACCTTTGCTATACCTATTGTTAAAAAATTATAATTAGTGTCTTTGATGCTCAAGAAACTGAACCTTTGCTATACCTCTAGTAAAAAAACTATAATTAGTGTCTTTGACGCTCCAGAAACTGAACCTTTGCTATACCTCTAGTAAAAAAACTATAATTAGTGTCTTTGACGCTCCAGAAACTGAACCTTTGCTATACCTCTTGTAAAAAAACTATAATTAGTGTCTTTGACGCTCCAGAAACTGAACCTTTGCTATACCTCTTGTAAAAAAATTATAATTAGTGTCTTTGATGCTCCAGAAACTGAATGCCCGACTAACGCCTTCACACACTCATACCAACAGCCTTCTCCTACCAACACACACCCCTCAACACCAAGCCCCTCCCCACGCCCCCCAAAGGGGGGCTGTGATGCGCCCCCCGCTGACGTCACGGATGGGGCGGCTGGAGTGTCAGCTGGACGCTGCTGACCACAAATAACCTGTGTTGCTGACGGGCGCCGGGGACTTGTTTCGGGCGGTCTTGCTAGGATTTATTTTTAGGACTTATATTGTAGGTCTTTTAATTTTGAGACTTTTTATTATAGAATTTTTTATTTTGAGCCTTTTTAAGCGCATTTTCCCATTTATGGAATAAATGCACTATTGTGCTCGCCATGTCCGTCTGTCCGTCTGTCTGTCTGTCTGTCCGTCCGTGACCTCAAGTTTGCGTCGACGAGAAAATGCGCTCTCTGTCACTCACTGCAGTGAGTACTGAGTTATATTTTTATAAGTCTTGGGTTGTATTTTTATAAGTTCTCTACAATTGTAGGAAACAAGGAATTTTTAAAGAAACAATGAATTATTTTAAAATTCTTAATTTTTTTGTATGAGATCAGGACTTTCTTTTGAGGTAGCGCATTATTTGGGGGGAAGAACAAGAACCTTCTTCACATTTCTACCTACTTTTGGGTAGAAAAGAACTTACTACCTGGAGACAAAGGCGTGTTTTTTGGAAAAGAACGATGGACAAGGAAGAAAGGCAATAAAAGGCCACAGATTGGATGTGGTTAAATGGAGTAGAAGGTAAAAAGCGCAGAGAAAACAATTTTTCGCAAGCAAAATCCAACGAAGTAAATACGTGAACTTTTTAAATAAAAATGTAAGATTGTTTTCGTTTTATATATTCAAGAAAATTTACGTAATCTTATTCTGCAGATAACTACTAACTAGTAACCAAAAACTACAGCTATTTTCTCTTTTTATACAAAAGTCAGAGCAGAAAGTTGTAAGTAGCAAGGAATGTATGCTAAGAAATAGGAGAAGTAATATATAAAAAAATGCGTTGCCCTTTCCATGAGTAACCTTAGCTTTCCAGCAAGCAGAATGTCGCTCGTTGGTATCACTAAATACCCGAGTTACTCTAACATTTATTTCCACTTATTGTTATTACATTTTATTAGAGGAATAATCTGAAGGCTGCTGGATAACTAACTTATCGAAGAATGTACATAAAATGGAACGAGATTAAAAGTATTCTTAGAATTAATTAGAACAGATATATTATAAACAATGAAAAGCTGGACACTAGGAAAGAAGAAGGAAGGTTCCTTTGTAGCATATATAATGCATTACAAAAATGGGGAAAGGGGGGGTGAGGAAGGGGGAAGAAAAGGAGGGTGAGGAAGGGGGAAGAAAAGGAGGGTGATGAAGAGGGAAGAAAAGGAGGGTGAGGAAGGGGGAAGAAAAGGGGAAAGGTTAAGAGGGACAGGAGCGATCACCCACGCTAGTGCATAACAGCTCCCCTCTACCCCCTTGAGGGGTCCGTGACGCAAGCTCCCCTCCCTCAACCCCCGGGGGGCAGTTGTATAGGAGGGGGGGGGGGCTCGGTCGATAGCGCGACCTAGAGGCTGTGCCTGTGCTTGTGCCTGACTGTACCTGTGCCTGTGCCTGACTGTACCTGTGCCTGACTGTACCTGTGCCTGTGCCTGACTGTACCTGTGCCTGACTGTACCTGTGCCTGTGCCTGTGCTTGGCTTGCCTGTGCTTGTGCATGGCTGTACCTGTGCCTGACTGTACCTAAGCCTGTGCCTGACTGTACCTGTAAGCTGTGCTATACATTTCCCTCAAGTAACTCTCAGATGCAACCACTCAAATGCATCTCACACGCTCAATTAATTACTTTAATTACAAGCAGTGCTAATTTTTGTTCCATTTTACAGCTTGATTAATATTATCGTTACTAATTATCGTTTCTAATTATTATCGTCAAAAACAACCGTTCTTTTAAAATTAAATTGAAAATTGTAGAGTAGAACAGCTAAAATATATTGGAGGTAATATGCTCGACAAGTTCCTTTCGTATATTTGCAATTAAGAAAACATCAAGATACGTTGAAAATCATCAAAACTTATCTTACATTAAAATAATCCCAAAATATTGTATTTGTGGAGCAATTAGAACTATAAATATTAAACATTACTCGAGACAAGCGAAAGAATTGTCTAGAGTATCCTAACAGTGAATTACACCTAATACACCAGTTGATTGTCAATTATCAATCTAACCTTTCTTAATTTTATATTATGTCGCTCATGAGCTTAAACCATTTAACCTTTCGCTTAAGATTTAGGACGAGCTTTTCGTCAAAGAGTTGCGGTTTCAGCGCTTAACCTTAACATTTTCTCATGAATTTGTACGTAGGAATGCTCGGCTGCTATTGGTCGGTTATGTGAGGGTAAGTGAGGGGAGAGGGAACATGAACACACGATATCGTCTATATTTTGCGTAACAAACTTACGTAAATGTCAGGGAGACGTGGTAAAGGTTTACCATCCATACTGCAGTGGAGCCTATCACTTCACTCCCCTCACTCAGTGTCCACTTCACCAGCACTCACTACCCTCACTCAGTGTCCACTTCACCAGCCCTCACTCCCCTCACTCAGTGTACACTTCACCAGCCCTCACTCCCCTCACTCAGTGTACACTTCACCAGCCCTCACTCCCCTCTCCCTCACTCCCCTCACTCAGTGTACACTTCACCAGCCCTCACTACCCTCACTCAAAGTCCACTTACATATATGTATTATTTATTATATTGTCCACATATTGACACACTTCAACACATGTCACGAGGGTAAAGCGGACGTAGCAGTGATACGCCCTTTTTACAGGGCCAAACTAGATGAGGATGACTCACACAATGGCAAAAAGTACATCGCTTTTTGGGGCAAAGTTTAACTCATTTTCCTGGGTATATAGAACTTATATGCACTTCAAGTTCTCATTTTATAATTTATTTCCTTTACTCTTACTCACAACTTTCTCTTTACTTCATACTTTACATCGTCTTACTTTCCTCGTCCTTTATCTCTATCTCTGTTCCCTCTCTCTCTCTCTCTCTTCACTCTTTTCCTCGCTTTCTTTCCCTCCTCTCACACTCTTTATCCCTCAAATGCCACTGCCACTCAATCCCTTCTACTACTCAATCCCTTCTCCCACTCAATCCCTTCTCCCACTCAAATCTCTTCATCATAGGCCTATGGGATATTAGAATACTCAATAGACAAGGTAGCCTGAATGATACACAATTTTTAAACAAATAGCGGTTAAAAATGAATGAATAGTTTATAGGTTCGCTTTAAATGAAGCTCGAGGCATGGACCAAGTTTGAAGTTACATTCTCTATCTTCAAAGTTATAATTGAGCTCAAGTTCACAGTACAGTTCCAAGTTGCCCTTGAGGTTCTAAGTTTACAGCCGCCCTCGAAACTGTGTTTTGGTCGCCATGGCAACGAGTTAAATGACCGTCTCGTGACGTCAACGCGTGACGTCACGCCCCTGCAAGTTTCAATCAATGAACGGTGACGTCATGGACACCGCAGCCAATCACGACGCGCTACTACGTCACACCTCCCACGCTGGCCAATCAGCGCGCTTCTCTTTGCTTGCCCAGTAATTGAGGTGAAGGAAGCAACGAATGTTTTTTTTTTGCCTTGCCGTGGTAGTTATTTTTTTGCGTGACTAACGACTTAGGAGGATCCAAGGCGCTGGTTTTTGCGCACGCAACAGCTTGACCTTGACAGCTCTAGTTATTCGCGGCTATAATGTAGATCTCATTAACTTTTGATTACTGTTTTCCTGTTGTACTAGATTGCATAATAACTCGATAATATTATTTGTAAGCCTTTCATTATGAATAGCCTACTAAGAAAAATATATTTTAGTCTATATTTTAATATTTTTTCATAGTTCATTCTCTACTCAGGGAAATGAGTTATTCATAAATAAAATGTATACGGTTTAAACGGCATGAAGTTTTCATTTAAAGGATGTCTAAAATCGTATCATCAAACACGATGAACGTTATTTTGAAATGCACTAAAATGAATGAAATGTGCTATTATGAATGAAATGTACTATTATAAATAAAAAATAACAGATTAACGAAATGTACTAAAATAAATAAAATGTACTCGTACTAGAATAAATGAAATGTACTAGGTTAATTGAAATTGTACTGACCGTTTGTGTTGTGGTAGGTGGTGCGGTGTCCGGAATGTGCTGCAGGATTGAGGTTGTAATAACCGTTATTGTGCCCAGCACTTGCAGTGCTGTTATTACTGGGGGTGATTGTGCTGTTATTGCTGTAGCCACTGATGGGGCTATTGCTGTTGCTGCTGTGGCCGCTGCTGCTGCTGTTGCTGCTGCCGTTGCGTCCAGGAGCGTTGCGCAGCAGTTCTTGGATGCTGCTGCTGTGGTGCAGCTGCTGCAGCCGATATTGCTGCTGTTCTCGAGCACGCTGCTGCTGCTGGTGCTGAGGGTGGAGGTGGTGCTGAGGGTTGCTGGTGGATAAGGTGGAAGCAGACGGGTTGGGATTGACAGACGACAGGTGAAGTCTACCGTCTGTAGAACTGCTCCCGTCTGTGTGAACTGCACGAGTCAGAAATAAATTGCGTGAGGAACGTAAATCAATAACTTGATCGTTGTTTACATGTTATCTTTATTAATATTAAATATAATCTATGTTATAAACACAGCGATTGTTTTTTATAATGATAGGCTTAGGATGGAATTGGAACACAGCAAAAAGTCTTCACTAATGAGCGCTAATTACAGCTTTAATTTCAAAATAAGACAGTAGTTTATATGCAAAGTACAGTATACGGTGCAGCAGTGGTGCAGTACATACAAGTACGGTATAGTAATGGTGCAGCAAATAACGAATATCTGCAGTACTGGTACAACACTGATCTCGTACGGTGCAGCATTGTTACACTGTACAACGTGCAGTTCAGTATCGAGTACTACGGTGCAGTTTAGGGAACGATGTAGTAAGGGCATGTAGTAAACGTAGTGTACTGTAAGAATAGTGTGCAGTATACGAAGTTTACTGTAAGAATACTGTACAGTAGGAGCAGGGTCCCGTATATATAGGTACGGTAAAAGGTACGGTACGGTATGGGTACGGTGCAGTATGTGCACAGTATACGGTATGGGTACAATGCAGTACGGTATGGTACGGTGCAGTATATATACAGGTATGTATGGTACAGGTACAGCACAGTATATATGTACACAGTATACGGTATGGGTACAATGCAGTAGTACTAGCACGATACTGAGATCTTGACCTTGTAGAGATGACCTTCACTTCAGTCAAAACACTTATGCCTTTCTTTCGATAATAGCTATAGTTGGGTATAAATAAACTATAAGATATAGTAAAGTATAATAGATATAATAAATTATAATAGATATAATAAAGTATTATGAAGCATCAATTGATAAATGTGTATTAGAGTTTACATGGAAGCGCTGAATTATATTCTCTAAACATCGAAAGATATAAATTCATATTATCAATACTTGAATATAGTGAAATTAGAATTATGAGAAGTATATATAACCAAGGAACAAAGTCAAAGAACAGTTAATTTAAAGTGATAACAATACTAATTATAATAATAAAAATAATACTAATATTAATAATGGTAATAATACAAAGATTATAAGAATAATGGAGTAGAATACTGATGTAAGTGTTGGGGTGAAGTAATAATACTACTAATTATAATTATAAAATAATAATAATAGTAATAATGGTAATCCTATAAATATTATAATAATAATGGAGTATAATACTGATAGAATCATTGGGGTAAACAAACATCAAGGATGCAGCGAGATTGTCTACCAAACACGCGACGTTATCGGACAAGGTCGCGGCGATATGGCGGCACTGATAAGGCCGATAAACTGGCGCCTTAGTTTACCCTTGATGGGATTATCTGTGCCCTTAGTAAGGTTTAAATCAAACGATCAATTTAAATTTAAATTAAGTGCAAAGAAATAGGCCAAGTAGACGATGTAGAAATGCAGATATAATACAGGAAATGAACATGAAGCTAAGGCAGCGGGAACAGCGAAAACTGCAGACAGTTATTGAAATAACGGCAGACACTGCAACTGCCGGAGTACGTGGTAAAAACAGTACACCAACAGTAACACTAACGGCAAAAACAGCAACACTAACAGCAGCAGCAGCAACTGTAACTGCAACAGTAACTGCAACAACAGCACCACTAACTGCAACAATAACTGCAGCAACATCAACAGTAACTGCAAGAAAAGCAACACTAATTACAAAAATAACTGCAGCAACAGCAACACTAATTACAACAACAGCTACAATAACAGCACCACTAACTGCAACAACAGCTACAATAACAGCACCACTAACAACAACAACAGCTACAACAACAGCACCACTAACTGCAACAATAGCTGCAATAACAGCACCACTAACAACAACAACAGCTACAACAACAGCACCACTAACAGCAACAACAGCACCACTAACAGCAACAACAGCAACAGTAACTGCAGCACTAAGGGCTGCAGCAGGCGGCCTTGCCCGGCCAACTTTCACCGACCTCCACACTTCACACTTCCACTCTTCACACTTCCAGGTTCACGCTGCAAATGTCACAGCGTTCACACATCCTACACTTCCTACCACCACATCCGCCTGCTACGTCTGTAGCAGTTACGTCTACCGTACATCCCACCAGCACATCCGCCTGCTACGTCTGTAGCAGTTACGTCTACCGTACATCCCATCACCACATCCGCCTGCTACGTCTGTAGCAGTTACGTCTACCGTACATCTCACCACCACATCCGCCTGCTACGTCTGTAGCAGTTACGTCTACCGTACATCCCATCAGCACATCCGCCTGCTACGTCTGTAGCAGTTACGTCTACCGTACATCCCATCAGCACATCCGCCTGCTACGTCTGTAGCAGTTACGTCTACCGTACATCCCATCAGCACATCCGCCTGCTACGTCTGTAGCAGTTACGTCTACCGTACATCCCATCAGCACATCCGCCTGCTACGTCTGTAGCAGTTACGTCTACCGTACATCCCATCAGCACATCCGCCTGCTACGTCTACGACAGTTATCTTTGAATTACATTTATATATATTTTAGTATTTCAAGTATATTTTTAAGTACATCTGTACTCAATTACTTGGAGTACATATCACCACTGCAAACATTCGTCCAATTTTGTCGTTTACAAGTGAAATAGTCACAAAAATTGTTTTTTTTGTAGAATGTTTTGATTTTTCAGAAAATTTGCAATACATCAATACGAATAGAAACTAGTAATCATAAATGTCATCATAATAAACATTGCAATGGACGGGGGCTGAAGAAATTCTACGAGAATGTTATTAGCAATGGCGGGAAGTTAAAGCATTAATTAGAAGTAATTCTAATCCAAATGCATCACTTCCACGTCGACACTCTCACACTCCTACAGCCACTTTCTCCGTGCTGCACGCACTATGAAAGTGAGAAGGAAAGCGGAAAGTGAAGAAGAACACGAGCGAAAGTTGGATCGTCAAGCGCAGCGCTGCAGGATCTCGACGACGCGGACCGAAAGTTTCGATGAAAGAGAAACCGGACCGAAACCGGTCATACTTAACGACTGTAAACCGGCCCGAAACCGGTCGCATTTAACGATTGTAAACCGGCCCGTAACCAGTCGTACTTAACGATTGTAAACCGGCCCGTTACCGGTCGTACTTAACGATTGTAAACCGGCCCGTTACCGGTCATACTTAACGATTGTAAACCGGCCCGTTACCGGTCGTATCTAACGATTGTAAACCGGCCCGTTACCGGTCATACTTAACGATTGTAAACCGGCCCGTTACCGGTCGTACTTAACGATTGTAAACCGGCCCGAAACCGGTCGCATTTAACGATTGTAAACCGGCCCGTTACCGGTCATACTTTACTATTGTAAACCGGCCCGTTACCGGTCATACTTAACGATTGTAAACCGTCCAGAAACCCTATGTTTATAACGTTAAGTTGGTTTTACTTGATTATACCATAAATAAAACTAGAAAATACTGACACTTATCTGAGAATTTGATGAGAACCTCTTAATACACCTATGCAATGTTCATTTATTCTTCTATGTTAACTACCCCAAAGATTCATAGTATAAAAAATGTTTACCAATAAGATGTCGTACAGTTGTTTAACTTCAGAATTCGGTCCTTGCAACCGAGATAAGTCAGTTTTAGGAGCCTGAAACCCAATTAACGATAATTATTATCGTTAATTGGGTTTGGTGTGGATAAATAAATAAACCCAATTAACGATAAAGCCGTAGTTAAACGTTCGTTCTTAACGGTAATAAAGTTTTTTCTCGACTATCGCTGGAAACATTCATTTGTCATTAGTAATTCCTACGCCGTTATTCACGTTTAAATGAAAGAAAAGAGAGAAAAAGTCAGCGAAAGAAAGCTGGTAGAAAACAGCTGGCCAAAACAATAAAAACACCAACATTCGGAAATTAATTCGTTATTTATAACCAAATTTTTTCGTTGTTTGTTGTTCCTACGAACGTAAAGTGTAATGAATTACGTACATATTTTACTTACGCACACGACTGCATACGAACTTACACAAGTAGCGCGTGAAGGCTACACATGTACACACAACACATGCAAATAGCAGAAATGCACACAATTCACACAACACACACGCTTGTGTGAAACGACACAAGCACAAACAGTACACAAGAGTTACAATTTAAAACAATGACAACACACATAGTACATACAACATATACAATAGACGCACTACACACAGCACACACTACACATACTGGTAACAAACTACACATACTATACACAAACAACACGTATTATACACACACTATACATATCATACACACACAACATAAACTACACATACTATACATACACAGCACACACTATACATATCATACACACACACAACACAAACTACACATACTACACACACACAGCACTCACACAGCTCGTGTTCTGCACTTCCGATCGCTGGCCTTGACTGGCGGCGACGCTAGAGTGGGTCATGTAGTGGGTCATGATGTGGGTCATGATGTGGGTCATGATGTGGGTCATGATGTGGGTCATGTTGGGTCATGTGGTGGGTCATGCAGTGGGTCATGTAGTGGGTCATGTAGTGGGTCATGTGGTGGGTCATGCAGTGGGTCATGTAGTGGGTCATGTAGAGGGTCAAAGTTCATCAAAGTCGGCAGGTAAAACAGTTCGGCCCTGGCGACTTCAACGCATGGCAAAGAGTTATCCAGAACACACATCGTTAGAAATTGTACATTTTTATATTAGTTCATTTTTAATAATAATCTTATTTGAAATTGAAATTTAATGAGCAGTTCTGTTCGATATTAGTACCGTAGCCAGTTTCTTAAAATAGAACTTATTGTTAAGCATTAAAACGTTCAAGCTTGAAAACGTAGAATGAAGTTGATGGAATTGTGGCCATTATTTTTAAAGCACTATCAGCACGCGTATTAACACAATCTCAGCACACAGACAACACAATTGTGTCATACACAATACA